GTGATAAATGTACCACTCTGATGGGGGAATAATAGTTAATAGTGGAACAGGCTGTACGTGTTTGGGGAGGTAGGGGTAGCTGAAAACTCGTGGTGCTTTCTACTCCGTTTTGCTGTGAGCCTGAATCTTGTCTAAAAAATAAGTTCATTAATTTTTTAAAAAGTGAACAGGAATATGAGAACATGATTGGGAGTTTAAAAAGGGATAATAAAAGGATTGCTAAGCAGAATTGAGTATGTATTAGAAGTGAGCATGAATTTTGTAGTGACCCTGCAGGCAGTTTTGTGGAACGTTGGACAGCCTGAGCATAGGAAGGGACCATCTTCCTGGCATATCACTAAGAGGAATTCGATGATGGTCGGGTGAATGAAGGATTTTTGAGTCTTCCTTAATATTCTCCCCACATTTCGTTTTCTTTTGCTGATAACACTAGGTGGAAAAAATATAAGTTAATTGAAAGTATTCCGTTAAAAACACAAAATAAAACACTAGATGAATTGGTGAATGGGATGAGTTTGGTGATGAGACATGACATCAGTTGTCATTAAAGCTGCCAGATGCCAGTGTTCTAACAAAAGAGCCTTTCAGCCATACTTTCACAGGTACAATATTTAATGTAAAGTACTGGTTTAGATTAGGTCATTGGCATTAAGTTGGCAAAAGCCGAAAGAAGAAACACAACTCTCCACAGCAAAGAACTCAGCAATAATAACTAATTGATCATGTGATAAGCACTGTTCTAAACCCTATTATGCCTACTTTACAGATAAGGAAACCTTCATTTTCTCAAGGTCACAGGAAAGTGACAAGGTAGAGAATTCAAACCATGGCAGTCAATATTCCAGAACCCGTGGGCTTAACCACGACACCCGAGGTTCTTAAGCTAGGTTGCACTTTGGGATCATATGGGAAGATTTAAAAACCAAATATGGATCCCTGGGTGCCTGGGTGGCTCAGTCCGTTGAGCATTTGACTCTTGATTTCGGCTCGGGTCATGATCCCAGGGTTGTAGGATCGAGCCCCACATCAGGCTCCATGCTCCTCACAGAGCCTGCTTAAGTTCTCTCTTTTCCTCCCTCCCCCTCCCCTGCTTGCGTGCACACAGTCTCTCTCATGAATGAATGAATGAATGAATGAAGTAAAACATTAGATAGGTAGATAGATAGATCCCTAATCTGCACGCCAAACTAATTATATAAGAATACCTGGAGTTGGAACCAGGCAGAAATATTTTTTTGAATCTCGTGATTTTTCAGAGGCCCCCCCAGGGTTGAAAACCTGTCCTACCCTGGACTGCCTTTCTAAAAATGCTCTGCATTTAGCATGCACTTGCTCTCTTCTTTAAGCATTAAGGCAGTAGGAGGTGGTGTACAAAATAGTTTCTGCCCTTAAGAAATTTAGTTGGGGAGGGGCGCCTGGGTCACGCGGTCTGTTAAGCGGCTGACTCTTAATCCCTGCTGAGGTCACAATCTCACAGTTGTTGAGTTCGAGCCCCAAGTCAGGCTCTGCGTTTACATTGTGGAGCCTGCTTGGGATTCTCTCTCTCCCTCTCTCTCTCTGCCCCTCCCCTGCTGTCTCTCAAAAAATAAACTATAAAAAAAGAGAGCAATTTAGTTAGGGAGACAGGAACTCTAGAAGAAAAGGATGGTATTTAAGATAGCTTAAGTTAGTTACTATCTTGGAATTCAAACAAGAAATAGGTCCCTAGATCTGGGTGGTAAGCAGAACAAGGGAATGTTACTTATTGAGAATGTGATCTGGCCTAGGCTTTATGCTAATCTAGTACAAGATAATCCTGAGAGTTAACTATAGTGTCTGTCTTAAAAAGGAGTAAACTGGTTCAGAGAGGTTAAATCCCCTGTCCAAGGCCACGCCCCTAATTGCTGGTAAAAATGATATACTGGGCTTTCAATGCCAAATGGCTTTTTCTACCATTGCATTCTGCCTGAAGGGAGCCAGGGGGATATAGGACAAATTGGGCCTTCATAGAAAGTGCAGTTGGAAGTGAGAATATTAGGAGTCTGAGTAGGGTGGTGTATGAAAAGGGAACAGAAAAAGATACGTCTGTAATTGGAGATTGGAGGTATAACACACCTACAGGTGATAGATACAAACAAGTTTTTGGAATATCAAATCTGCTACCAAATTAGAAAACAAAGGAAAACTATTTAAGGGACCATTTAACCCAAATGCATATAAATGTCTAGACAGTACAGTAGGATTATAAAAGGATGGACCAGTGTGGAAGACATGGAGAATGAATTGAATTTAATATGGAAAGATAAATTATGTTATTGATAAATAAAACAAAAATAGCTTCTTTTCTCCTCTAAATGAGTGGACACAGACTGAACAAGATCAACGTGCTCCTCTTGGGATCCACTGGGAAGGCAAAGAGGAGTCTTAGCCACATGGTTATTCATTCCTCCCTTCTCCCGAAATGTGGATGGGAGAGAAGGAAGTGGACATGTTCCACAAGTATGAGTCCTTTCTCATCAGAACACTAGATAAGCAGAGTATCTGTGTGCTGCAGCAGCATGTGAGGCCCAAGTGAATGAGGACTTCGACCGCCTCCACTTTGACCTCAGTCTGTAGTGTTTAAGTGATTAAGTTCTTTCCAGCTTATCTCTTCACCCGGGCACAAGACCCAGCAGGCATAGCATCCCAAGACGGGGACCCTAGCAACAGGGACTGCCTTCACACCAGTAAGTCCCCCACATGACTGACCCCAGGACAGTGATCAACCTGACCTTCACTGCCCACCCGCACGTACCTTTGTCTCACATTTTCCTTACATAAACCTGGAAGTATGTTCAGCACTTTGGAGACAGTCTTTGAGACACTAGTCCACTGTCTTCCCAGTTCTGGCCTCACTGAAATAAATCCCTTTCTGGTTTCTCCACCACTTGGCTCTCTGCCTGTGGATTTTGTTAGCGGCGAGGGGCCCGACCTGATCTCTTTGGGACCCCCAGAGCCAGGTGCTCTTGTACCCGTGAGTCCTGTTGTTTCCAGTGACCTATAGAGAGGTCCTTCCCCACCCCTACCCCTGCCACTGCCACCACCATCCCCTTCCTTTAGGGCCAGACAGGAATTACACTGGAGGTCATGGGTACCTTACACCTGTGGTATGTGGGCTCATCAAGGGCACCGAGACAGAACGCTTCAATTTAAATGAAGTCCCCAGTTATTTTAAACTCCCAGCCAAAAAGTTAATCACGTACTTAATAACAAAAGATTATTAGGACGACATGATGTATATAAAGTGCTTAGAACAGTGCCTGACGCAGTAACAAAAGCTCTAATAGTACAGATGATTAAAATGGTTATTAAATTTCACACATAGTACAGTGCCTGTGTTCAAGCTGTTGTATAAAAAGTTGTGTCAGCTAGCTTCAGCTACTTCAGGGGGCAGCGTGATGACCAGAGAAAGTCAGGATGCTGTTGGGAAGGCCTAGACCACAATCAAAGGAGGTTTTTTCGGGGGCTCCCACTAATTGAGGGTGGGATGAAAGGGAAGGGAAGAATTAGGGATGATACCAAAATCTTGAGCCTCAGAAACTGTGAATATACACTTACGAACAGAGAGCCTGGCTTTAAGGAGAGAGATGTTGAGTTTAGAAGGAAGCGTTCTAAAGGAACGGATAGAAGATTTTTAAACAACATAGGTTTTTGTTTTGAAAATTTTTAACAGGGGCAGCTGGGTGGTTCAGTAAGGTTAAGCATCCAAATCTTGATTTCAGCTCAGGTCATGATCTCACGGTTCTGTTCATGGGATCAAGCTATACATTAGGCTTAGTACTGACAGCTTGGAGCCTGCTTGGGATTCTCTCTTTCTCTCCCAAAATAAATAAACTTAAGGAAAAAATTTAACAGATTTATTGAGCTACAGTTTGTTCACCATTTACTTATTTTAAGTGAATAATCTAGTTACTTAGTAGATTCACGTGGTTGTGCCACGAGCACCACGATCCAATTTAGAGCGTTATTAACCCTTAAAAGATCCCCAAGAAAAAGTCATTTTTTGTTTCTGCTCCCAGCCAGTTCTATTGGATTCTTTTGAAAATAAGCGCTCAAAGTAACTTTTTCTTTTGCAGGACGGCATAGTAAATCCAACAATAAGGAAAGATTTGAAAACCGTACCGAAATTCTACTGTTGTCCAATTGAAGGATGCCCCAGAGGCCCTGACAGACCATTTTCTCAATTTTCTCTCGTAAAACAGGTATTTTACTTGTCTTAAGTGTACTTCTCTGAGGATGAGGCGCAGGTGACGTAAACCTAGCGTGCAATCCAATCTCTTTCCAAATGTAACTGGAGAACTCTGGGAGAGAGCTGCTTGTGGGAATAGCCGGCCGCCCAAGAGTCTCCCTGGCGGGGGAAGCGTGAGTGGGCGTACCGCGAGTGGAGGAGACGTAGCTTGTTGTGGAGGTGAAGATGTCCGGGAGTGGGTTTGGAGGAGAGACCAGAAGACTGCTTCCTCAGCAAATGAGAAATGTGTGTCCAGCTGTCTTGTGTGACCCCGGGTGCCTCTGAGGCCAGAGGCGCAAAGGCACGTAGGAAATGGTCTCCTGAGGGAGATGTAGCTGCGGAGGTCAGGCAGAGAGTTCCAGCAGCAGCCACCTTCGGGAGGGGGCCCGGCGAGTGGGGACAGAGGGGCCTTAGGACTGGCAGAGCCTGGCGGCTGTGAGCCTTCCCCAAGCGTCTGCTGGAGGGTCCCGAGGAACGCGTGGCGGACCCCCCCCCCGCCTGCGGCACTCGTCTGGAACCCCTAAACGGTGGTCCCAGGAAGTTTTTGCCAAACCGTCTCCCACTTTTCCCAGAGCAGGAGTGACTAGGAGAAGAGGCGCGTGACAGACCGCAGCCTTCCCGCTTCTCCGTTCTCCTGGCGCAGACCGGCTGAGGTCTGTCCTGTGAGGTCAGCGCTAATTCGGGCGTGCGGGTCGCGTCTGAAATGTTTGAGCGCTTGCGGTTGCCCACTCTCCCCCCTCTGTGTTCTCCCCAGCACTTTATGAAAATGCACGCCGAAAAGAAGCATAAGTGTAGTAAGTGCAGCAACTCCTACGGCACCGAGTGGGACTTGAAAAGGCACGCCGAGGATTGTGGCAAGACCTTCCAGTGCACGTGCGGCTGTCCCTATGCCAGCAGGACCGCCTTACAGTCCCACATCTACCGAACTGGCCACGAGATCCCCGCAGAGCACAGGTAAAGGGGAAGAAGTGCCGGTCCGCAAGTCAGTGGCTGTGGGAAGAGTTTCAGGTGAAACTTCTGGAGAGCCGCTGTCGCGGGCAGAGAGGCGGAAGGACGGAGACAAGACGTGATGTGGCCGAAGGGAACTTTCGGGAAAGCAGAGCTTTTCGGCAGGACTAGGAAAGGATCTGCATCCGCCTAACCCGGTTCTTCCTTATTCCTTCCCGGTTAAAAAATATCAACTTCCAGCATTTCTATCAGAGGGATGTTAGATTGTTGAGTTCAGTTTTACCATAAAACTGTACCTCATTTTAAAGGTCAACTTTATATTTGGAGTAATAGCTTCCTACTTTAGGAACAGTAAAGGTTGCATTATATAATCTGTTCGCTTCCTTATGCTTCCAGAGCTAAGCTAAGCTGAGTTCTAGTACTTGAACGTATACCCAAAAAAGGATGCGCTTTCTCCTTCCCTACTCACATGTTTCTCTGCCCGCCACCACAGCAGGCCGAGTTCTTAGAGAGTCGTGGAGGGAGGTCTCCTCTTCAGCGGGTGAAGTCTGGCCTCTGCCGTGGGTGTGGGGAGCAGTGTTGGTGAGCAGCTGAGGGGACGGCCCCCGGGTTGAAGCAGCTGCAGCTTACACTCATTTTTCTCTTTTCACTCTGTCATTGCTTTCAGGGACCCACCTAGTAAGAAAAGGAAAATGGAAACCTGCCTGCACAGCCAGAAGCTGTCCGGTAAGACCACTGAGTCATTGAGCAGTCAGCCAGCTCCAAGACCAGACCCTCAAGAACTAGAAACCTCAGAAATAAAACTAGTCACTACTTTGGAAGACTCTTGCAACTCTACTGCCGGAAAGCAGACTCTTACGACACCTCCAAGATGCCCTCAGAAGTTGCTTTTACCCAAGCCCAGAGTGGCTCTGGTGAAACTTCCTGTTCTGCAGTTTTCTCCCACGCCTGTCTTTGTGCCTACAGCCGACTCCTCGGCCCAGCCCGTGGTGTTGGGCGTGGATCATCAGGGTTCCGCCCCGGGCGCTGTGCACATACTGCCCTTGTCGGTCGGAACCCTGATCCTCGGCCTAGATTCCGAGGCTGGCTGTCTCAAGGAGAGTCTCCCTCTTTCAAAAATTGTGAATCCTGTTGCTCTGGAGCCAGTTAGTACAGGTGTTCAGGTGAACTTGGGCAAGAGCCTGTCTAATCCTTTACAAGAACTAGGAAACACATGTCAGAAGAATGGCATTTCTTCAATCAACGTGCAGACGGACCTGTCTTACGCCACACAGCACTTCATACCTTCCTCCCAGTGGGCCGGCCCTGATTCCTCCGTATCTTCCTGTTCTCAAACGGATTTGACGTTTGGTTCCCAAGTCTCCCTTCCCATTAGTGTTCACACTCAGACATTCTTACCCGGTTCTAAGGTAACCTCTTCCATAGCCGCTCAGACTGACACGTTCGCAGATGCCTGTTACCAGCCAGGTGGGATCTCCAGAGAAACCCAGACCAGCGGGATGCAGAGTCTGACAGACGGCCGAGTCCAGATGGACCAAGCTGTAACGTGTGGAGACATTTTTGAGAGCGTCCATTCGTCCTACGGTGTTTCCACAGACAATATCATAAGCAGCAGCCTAGTAGCAGGGACTGTCACTCATGGTTTGTTACCTCAGAACCACCCTAAGACTTTAAATCAAGATATTGAGAAATCTGCACCGATTATAAACTTCGGCGCACAGCACAGTATGCTTCCTTCACAGAACATGACGGACAATCAGACCCAGACTATGGATTTATTAAGTGATTTAGAAAACATCTTGTCAAGTAACCTGCCTGGTCAGACACTGGACAGTCGTAGTCTTTTGTCTGACCCGAATACTGGACCTGACACCCAGCTCCCATCTGGCCCAGCCCAGAATCCCGCAATCGATTTTGATATCGAGGAGTTCTTTTCCGCCTCAAATATCCAAACTCAAACTGAAGAGAGTGAGCTTAACACCATGGCCACTGAGCCAGTCTTGGAATCTCTGGACATAGAGACCCAAACTGACTTCTTCCTTGCGGACACCTCTGCCCAGTCCTATAGCTGTAGGGGAAATTCGAACTTCTTAGGCCTTGAAATGTTTGACACGCAGACACAGACAGACCTAAACTTCTTCTTAGACAGTGGCCCCCATCTGCCTCTGGGAAGTATTCTGAAACACTCCAGCTTTTCCATGAGTACGGATTCGTCTGACACAGAGACCCAAACCGAAGGAATGTCCGCTGCTAAAAGCATACCTGCCGTAGAGAGTAAAGTTCAGTTGAACAGCACAGAAACACAGACCATGAATTCTGGCTTTGAGACCCTGGGCAGTTTGTTCTTCACCAGCAACGAAACGCAAACCGCAATGGACGACTTTCTTCTGGCCGATTTGGCCTGGAACACAATGGAATCTCAGTTCAGCTCTGTAGAAACCCAGACGTGTGCAGAACCACACACGGTCTCCAACTTCTAAACGTGAAGTCTGTGCGCGGGTCGGCCTTTACAGTTTCCTTCCGGGTTCAGCGAATGGAGGGTATGGCAACAGTGTTAACGCCGTTGAATGTAGTTCCTGATGCGTTTACTTGGGTCCTTGGAGGTTCTTTGCCTTTTGTACTTGTAAACATGAAATTTGTGTATAAATGTGAGTGTATTATAAAGCGTAAGATGTTGATCTAAAAATGATTGTTTCTGTGTTGCCTCCATTTGCCCTCTCACAGTTAGTTGTCCCATCTTAAAAGAACAAGAGTGTCTCACACCTGTAAAACCCATCTAGCACTTAGCTGAAGCCAAGCTTACCAGGTACTAGGGTACAGACTTTTCAGATCTGCAAAACATTTCAGTTGAAATGTGACTCGCTTGACTTAAATTGCACCTAAAACATCTGACGGTGTTGGAGAGAAATTCCTGTTTCCTGAGAGTAAATCTAAAGAACTCGGACGCCACGCAGCAGATTTGGGCACGAGTGCTTAGATGGCGTGGGGCTCCTGCCGCCTGCAGCTTCCTCTGCTTTGACCTCTCCCTTTTTCTCTGACTTGGAGACAAAGGAAAACTACAGCCAGCTTTAGCTTTTGAGACCGTCTTCAGGTAACCAATGCTTATTCTTCCTCCGCACAAACTAGGAGTGATCCCAACGTCAGTGTACTGTACTTTCCTCACAAGACGCGTTTCTGTACAATTGCTGCTTCAAGGAGTAGCGGCCAGCCCTCAGTGTAAATAGTGATCCTTCTGGTCGAAGTGACCGTCCGTCATCCCAGCCGCGGAAACGCCGCGTTGCGGAATCGTGCCCAGTTAGCTCATCCTGGAGTGTGCCCTGTGAACACCCCTGCTGCTCTCCCCAGTAGGCGAGGCGGGGGCTCCAGAGCTGCTTCTCAAAGTGGACCCACAGGCTGGATCTGAGTTGTGTCTAAATGTTAAGAAAAACAATAATGGAGAGCGAAGAGGCCATTCCCCCCTAAATCTCCGTACTTTGTGTAAGCTTGAATAGGGCAAGAGTGCAATCAATTATTCTCAAGTGAATCTTCATCCACCTCTCATCTTTTCCTGGAGTAAGGAAAGACATTGGCCCAGCAAGGGTAGTATTTGTGCCTTGAGGATAAGAAGTACAGAACAGATCCACCCGCACTATGGGATTCCACATTTTGTTGCTTTATTTAGACAGCAATACCAGTCTTCAAAGAATTTGAAGACCAACTACTTCAGTAATCAAGAACATCCACGTTTTTAGATGGGAGCATGGCCAGATATGCTCTGGAGGTTTTCTCTCTTCAGGAAATCAGGAATTCTTGGTTGTTGGCCAACTTTCAGTCAAGGAAAAATCGGTGCAGCCCCTAAGTTTTCTAAGTTTATTTAAAAAAAAAAAAAAAAAGTTCCTTCTGTGGCACATGCTTATGCTGCTGAAGACTAAACCCTCAAAATAAAACCTAAGGAGTAGACTAATAACTCATTAAATGGATGATATTAGTATTAATTCCTATCCCATAGAATAGTTGGTAGTGAATCAATAACTTATCCAGGACGGATGAACCTAACCTGATAGATAAAAGTTTGCTGTGGTCACAGTGGCCTATGAATATGGGTTTCAAAACAGACATAAAGCCTTAACTTAGAATTTCATTATGTTTTAGAACTGTCACTGCCTTAATGTTCAAACATTTATTTAAGTTCTCCTAGTCAGGGAGAAATGCATGTTCGTTTATGGCTTTTTGTAAATACAAATGCAGTGATCTTTGGCTTTAAAAAAAAAAATGTGTTTGTTTTTTTTTTTTTTTTTTTTGTCTGTGTGGAAATGTTTGTTAATTCAGCCAGTAGAGTTACTTACAGAAATTTGGAGCATGTCGTAGTTCTTCATGTAAAGTAAGAACTGTTTCCCTCCCAAACCTTAGTTACCTGAATTGTCCTATGATTATTCGTAAAAAATGAAATCCTGTGATTAAAGAAGAAGTGAGAATTCTACCTTTTTTTGTGTGAATTCTTTGACATACTCATAATGTGACCTATTTTGTTGTCTTGACATTTCACAGACCCCTTAGCTTCCGATAGTCACAGGATCAAATGGTTGTGCCTAGTTACGTTCATTACTGTTTTACCTTTGTTAACGACAATATACTAATTTTCCTCGTAGACACTCCATTACCAAACTTTCTATTATGATGTAGAGTTTTTATTTGAGAAAAGCTATATACCTTAGGATTTCATTTGTTGGAGAATTTTGAAGGGAATTACCCCCAATTCATGCATTTGCCAATTCGTGACTATTTTATTTACTTTTTTTAAATGTTTATTTTTGAGAGCGTGCAAATGAGGGAGGGGCGGGGGGCGGGGACAGAGGATCCGAAGCGGGCTCTTTGCTGACAGCAGAAAGCCCGACGTGGGGTTTGAATTCACAAACCACGAGACCATGACCTGAGCCGAAGTGGGACGCTCGAGCAACTGAGCCAGCCGGGTGCCCCCAAGTCATGGCCATTTTATAATGGGGTCCCTTTTATCTTTGTAAATAATGTAATGCTAGCTTAAGAGCAAAAACGAGAGGGTTACAACATGAGTAGTTCTTTGCTTAGTCACTGATTTGTGAAAAGCCAGATCAGTATGTTTCTGATTCCTTGATACAAAGGGGAAATGAAAATAGAAAAATTTTGTGGACTTACCTGAAAGATGCTGAGTAAGGCTTGAGGCTACTTTTGATCAGAGGAAAATGTAAGCATGTCAGTCTAGTTGTGAAGTTGAATTGTTTTATTAATAGTGGCAAGTGACAGGGCGATACTTTCGTGTCACCCTTTACGTCCTCAGTTTTAGATGGTTTATCTTAATTCCAGTCCAAACCTCACCAAAACCTGCCATCTACTATTGACTCCAAGGAGCATTTACTATCCGGTATATTTAAAGCAGTGCTTCTCACACTGGTCTTCCAAAGGCTTTCAAAGAAAAGAAGAGGAGGAACTTGTACATTTGGGGATTTAGGGATGAAGAAGTCTCAAGTGTTTATGCAGTTTTAGTTTCCTTACATTTCACAATATACGTGTGTGTGTTCCCTTTGGAAGTGCGTTATAGTGTCACCAGATCTGTCGCTAGGAAAGCAGATCGGTCTTTTGGTTTCATACTCCCAACATCTAAAAGACTGTCAGATGACAGGAATTTCCCTCTAGTTTCTTCAGCAAGATGTTGGCTAGTGTAATGTTCTTATGGCCAAGAAGGTAGTCAACTAAATACCCTTGTTTTGCCGCGTTTAAATCCAAAGAGGTCCTTCCATTGTATGAACACTCTCAACAGACACCCTGAGGTATTAGCTTACGTATTAGGAGAGGCAGGCTAAAGATGAAGGGGATTCCCAGTTTATGAGTGTTCTCGAACTAACACTACTATTTTGAGAGAGCACGAGCAGGGAAGGAGCAGAGGGAATTCCAAGCAGGCTCCACACTGTCAGCGGAGAGGCCAACGTGGGGCTCACGCTCATGAACCATGAGATCGTGACCTGAGCCGTAATCAAGCCAGTCCCTTAACCGACTGAGACACCCCAGCGCCTGCACTGCACTTAAAACCGTGCACGTTTGAAGGGAGCAAATGTCCAAACCATGTGAGTAAATAAAAGCATGGTCTATAGTACTTGAACTCTGAGAGTACCAATAGTCATTCATTTGTTTCAACAAGCCTGAGGAAAAAACCTCTGTGTTTTATATTGCCTTACTAATAACAAAATACACACATTTGTAACTTTGTTCTAAGTCCACAGAGTAGTGATGGTTGGCATAGGAGAAACTTTGCCAAGGCCCCTTCCACTAACTTTTGATACTTGATTGTAAAGCAGGTTAATATTATAGGTCAGGACGCTACAAAAAAGAAACAACGAAACAGAATAAGTGATACTCTTTTTTAGTTTATCGTGAAATGGTCAAATATTTGAAAAAACGAAAACCTTTGAAAGGAAAATGTATCTCCTTCGTGACTTTGTCATTCTCAAAGCTATACATGTCATTTCAGTGTGAACAAAGGTTTTTTTGTTTTGGTTTTTTATTTTATTATTTTTATTTTTATTTTTTATTTTATTTTATTTTATTTTATTTTTGCATAAAGGCCTGAGCTTATTAGCATGGTATAATGTCACTAAGACCTTGTTCCAAGCTTGGAATCTTCTTCCTGCTTTTGCTTACAGCTTTTTATCCTTCCCTTCCTGGTGATCTCTAAATAACTACCGTAATAAGTAGCTCTCTGACATTCCATTTTCCTGAAGTTACATTACAGAAATCAGTCATGAGGGCTGGGTGAATAGGCACAGAAACTAAGCCTCCAGAGTCATGAACAGTATCAGAACTAGTGGTGTTTATCCCAAATTAAATGTCTGATTTCTAGTTTTCTTCAGAACACATGCACGTTAAAACAAAATTGGTAATGATCCTGTAGTGCTGAAAATATGACTGGCTTATAGTATGTTTTCAAGTTTTAAATTGTTTTAAAATCCAACAATTTCTCTGCTTATGAAAAGATACACAGGGAAGAAATGTCTGTAGGTTGAGCTAAATCAGGAACAAGAACTATTTTCACATATATGTGCCACATTTTGCCGGGGGCTAGTAAGGAGTGGTATCCACGGTATTGGCAGCCTCTTGATAGTCACACTGATTTAGCATGAGCAGTGGATGTTAGGAGTACTGCTTATCCATAAGGAATTCTGAACAATGGCATTAATTTTTTTTTAAGTTTATTTTCAGAGAGAGAGAGCAGGATAGAGAGAATCTCAAGCAGGCTCTGTGCTGTCAGCACAGAGCCCAATGCAGGGCACGGCTCGAACCCACAAACTGTGAGATCACGACCTGAGCCAAACTGGAGAGTCGAACGCTTAACCACCTGAGCCACCCACGCACCCCTCTACAATTTTAAGAGGACAGTCATTCGTTAAAGGGAAATGACCCACTTATTTGTATTTGATTCGATCAATACATTCAGAAAAATCACGTATCTCTGTTGGCGTTTTACGTACATTACCTCTTCATCTTCACCACGTCCTGTGTCTGAAATTGTTTCCAGCTTACAGGGAGGAATGGCATTCTCCAGCCCTTCTTCCTGCCTTATGTGGTATTTTCCACCCAGGGCTCCAGCTATTCCACACCTGGGAATTGACCTGACTGAACACACTCTGGTGATTGGTTTCTCCTTGGGTTGTGGGAGAAAACGATCCTTGACACCCGTGCATTTGCTCAGGATAAAGAGACGGATACCCAGAAGGGGCTTAGAACTCTTAGAACAGTGCCTTGTAAATTCAAGGGGATTCTTGCCTCGTGTGGCTAATAGAACTCCGGGCCGAGTAGTCTGGACGGCAAGAGCGTGGCCCTGAGGGTCTCCTGGCCCCAGGGTGCCACGGGCCTGGCAGACAGTGGGAGAGTGTTCCCTGCGGTACCGGGGATAGCCCTGATATGCCCTTGGTCACAGCCATAGGAGCCCCTCAGTTGATTCCCCACCTTGCTTCTCAGTACCCCCCAAATGCAGCACCAAGATGGCACAAGAACTGGACCCCAAAGAGCCCCAGATGTGAGCCCTCCAGTTAGGCAGCTGGGCCTTCTTGGCCAGCTGGGGGTACCCACAGAGAGAGAGGCCGGGCTTCTGTGGTCTCTCTGGGTCCTGAAGCTCTTGATCTTGGAGGGAGGGAGAGTGAAAACCAATGTGATTCTGGGTCCAAATAGTTTCATACCATGGTGCTTGAAGTACGGGTAAATTTCACGATAATACAAAGGATAGATAGAACAAAGCTAAAAATGAGGGTAAGTCTCCCTGAGGAGCCAAAGTCCCGCATACTTGTCCAAATGTAGCCAGACCTGATGTAAAGTCTTCCCTTCGCCCTTCAAAAGTGCCACCCCCTCATCTCTCTGTCAGGACATCTGTCTGCCCAGGTCTCCCACCCCTCCAAGCCCCTCCCTGGCCTCACCCAGACCCTCAGCAGCACCCCCAGGCCTCAGCCTGGCCTCATCCAGAAGGTGACCTCGGGCCCTGCAGGAGCCCTGGGTCAGGTGCTGCCACAGTTCCATCCGGTGATTTATAAGGTTTCGAGAAAAATAGGAGTTTGGGAAGTCTTGTTAATGACACATCCCAAACCAATACAACAAGAAATGAAACACAGCCCCGCTCTGTGCTTGGTTTAGAGAAGACTAGAGGATCCCAAACCCAACTGAGCCCATGTTAACATGCTTAACTCCCTTAAATGGTGGGATTTCCCCCTGAAAGTTTTGTTGGTGACCTAGGACCCTAATCGGGACTGCATTCTATTAAACATTTAGCCTTTATCTAGACTTGGACATGGGGGCGCCTGGGTGGCTCAGTCAGTTGAGCATCCGACTTGGGCTCAGGTCATGATCTCGCAGTTTGTGGGTTCGAGCCCCGCATCAGGCTCTGTGCTGACAGCTGGGAGGCTGGAGCCTGCTTTGGATTCTGTATCTCCCTCTCTCTGCCCCTCCCCCACTCACGCTCTGTCTCTCTCAAAAATAAACAAGCATTAGACTTGGACATCAAAGACCAGTCTGGATGTCCTGATTTAATCTGAATGGAAACAGGCAAAACCTGGAGTGATTTTTCTCCACAGAAAACAAGCTAAGCCCAGGCTAATGCAAATAAGGTCCCAGAGGAGTTTAATCAGGTTAATTGAAAAATTACCTAAAGAGATGCCAAATTCGAAACGTGCCTATCTATTCACAGAGGAGTCTCCTAGTCAATATTTTGTTGGCCAAACTATTTGCTTAAAAGGAAGGATACTACAAATCTTTGAATTTGGGCCCTTCCTTTGTTGAGACCTGCCCTCCTCTTAATTTTAAATTATTATGTTTAACCCCAAATCAATAGAATTTATAACCCTTATCTCAGCAAAAGAATTTTTCTTAGGAAAAAAATGCTCTGTTTTAACTTAGATCAGTGTTTTCAGACTGCCTCGAGATCTCAAAATGTAAACACCTCTGGGCTGACTGGGCGAGGCTCTGTCCCTCACCTGCGCTGGTAGAGGCTTCCCTCCCGAGACACTCTTGCCTGTTTTACGTGTACTGAGCTTAGTCCTCATCCTGCTCTTTAAAAGAGGGGGTTTGCAGAGCCACTGACTTAGGTGGGCGGGGGCCAGAGCCAGAGGACCCTCACGCAGCATCGGGTCCAACACCGCCACGGTCCAGACACAGTGGGAAACCAGAGTGGCTTCCTGGGGGCAGAATCCAGATGGTTTCTTCACTCAGGGAAGGGGTGGGCAGGACCTAAAAACTGCCTCTAAAGTATAAAGAAGCGTCCAATCTCTGTAGGCAAAATACAGCTTTTAATGACCGCTGTACTACAACCATTTCTGGATTTCCAGTGTTCTGCAAAAACCACGAAACAGAAAAAGAAATAAACACCTAAACTAGAGACATTACAAAGACCAAAGCAGATGTTTACAAACACAGTCATATGTTCTGTCTACCCATCATGTGGGGGGACAGGAAGTCCAGAGTTCCAAGTACAACCTATCTTAAGCAAATGCAAACTACGTAATTACAGAGCAGCTAAGTGGTTACTCATATTACAAAATGGTTTTTCAGAGCATTTCTCTACATAGCGTGGTCACTTGGCACTTAAAATATAACTCATTTACAAATGTTTAATTTATATACAACTTTGGGAAACATGCATTGGGGTAAAATGAGGGAAGAAGGAGGACAGGGGAAGGGAGAAAGTAACATCCCTATTCCGTGTCTGTCTGGAGTTGTACAGTTCCCAAATATTAGACGAAGGTAAGGCTGGAGGAAGCTCGAAGGGTGGCAATAATAATCACAGCAACATTTAAAAAAAAAAATTATTCTTAACCTGCTTCCCAAGATGGACTTTATAGACCTCACGTGGCTAAAACTTTTCCGGACGTGGAGACTAGCATGAGGCTATAAGTACATGAAACCCTGGCACACGCAGCATGTCGTGGGTATGGTATATCCATGGATATAAGGTTAGGACACCTTGGACACGAGGATATTCATTTGGATGTAGGCTGGAGTTATCTATGAAAGCAATGTTCCAGATCTTTGTTGCAAGAGAAAATGAAGCAGCAAATCGATATCTGCCTGGTTCAAGAGATCAGGAGATAATTTGGTCTAAACAAGCCCTGACACTAAGCTTAAGGCATTGGGGTGGGGAGGAGAGAGCCCCTGCCAGTTGGCTCAGGGCTGACTTGGGCATCACTGAGGGATGGTCCTTCAGAGTCCCCGCCGTCCACACGGCTTCCAGCGGGGAGTAGAGAGACGAGGCAGGCAGAGGCAAGGGTGGCATTACCCGTTTGCATTGTGTGAGTGGCTAGGCAGCAGAAGCAGGTGACACATACGTATGGGAGCTTTGAGAATACATCAGAACCCGCACAGTGAGGTTCAATTTCCCCTGGTTCTACTGCCAAAAAAAGGACAGGGCAAGGGAGGGTGGGAGGAAAGAGTGCAGCAGAAAAGAAGGACGGGACGGGGCGGGAGAGAGACAGGGAGAGGATGAGTGAACTTCAACCAGTGGTCATTCCCAGGGAATCCTATTGTGGCAACTCAGAGGAGTCTGTGAGTGGAGACAGGAATAACAACTCTGCTCACTGTGAGGGAGGGCAAGAGAGTTTTCGGGAACACTTTGGTCTCCAACGTTTTGGGCCTGTTTTCCTGCTTGGCCTCCGTGAGAACGAGCTTTTGGGTGTTCACGGCAGGTCTTGGCTCCCTGGCTTTGAATCTGGCTTTGTAGTTTTGCGCCCCCTGTTTCTGCAAAAGCTGCACGGTGGCCGGACAGCGCACGTTGCCGGGATCGGGAGGGCACACCAGGTGTTTCTCGGGCAGGAAGGACCAGTGCAGGCAGCCCCTCTCGTGATCCGCCAGCAGGGGTGCGGGGGCCGCCCGGGGAGGGAAAGGCAATGTGTCATTGACCTTAGGGTGCTCGGCCAGCTCAACAGGTCTCTTTTCACCTTTCCCGTCAACCCTTTTCAGTCCACGCGCACAAGCCACACACTCATCCTTTTCCACGCTCAGCACCTTCTCTTCTGGCTGCAAGAAAAAGTTCTTACTCTTCTTACCCAGAACATCCAAGCCGTATGGGGGTGAAGCCTTCAGGGGAGGTAGGACTAAAAGGGCCCTGGAAGTCAAGGAGTCTGAGATGGAGGGACCTTGGCCCGGGCCCTTGCCCCTAATAGCCTCAGGGGTGGCCCAGTCTTCCTTGCACCAAATAAACTCCTTTATTTGCAGACTTTTTTTCTCTCCCTGACTGGAAGTGGGAAAGCAGATCTTGCTAATCTCCCCGGAGGCAGTGGTGGGGCCTCGGCGGGTCCCCTGAGTCTGGGAGGGGCTGCCTTGAGCCTTCTCCAGACCCACAGACCCCGACTTCCCCACCTCCGACTGAGGCCCGGCCTCAGAACTCCCTTGGGAGAGACTGACACAGAGTAAGCAGCTGCTGGCACTTTCTCTCACCCTCGTCTTTTTAAGCTTCTTCCTGGACCAGATGCAGGCCGTTGGAGATGTCCTTCCCCAGCCTTGCACCTGCAAACACAGCAGCATGTTACTCCCGGCCGAGCTGCTCAAATCTAGCTGCCCCAGCTCTGGACACATCCCTATTTGGGCCATCCTATTTGATCTGATACTTTTCTTAAAACTGACTCACCATTTTTAAAAAATTTTCACTCTGTTTTAGCCTCATACCAAGTGATAGTATTGGTAATAGCATTTGTAGGAGTATTTGTTAATCTGAAACCCTAGCAATAGGGTTTAATACTAAAATACTAGGCAAAAATACCATACATGGGCATCTTGATGTGCTGGCTATATACTTTTTCAGATGCACATTAAAATAAAGCCAGAGCTCTTAAAATCAGAACTGTTTGTATTTATGGGGCACCTGGGTGGCTCAGTCAGTTAAGCATCCAATTCTTGGTTTTGGCTCAGGTCACAATCCCAGAGTAATCTGGAACTTTGATCTTTCTACGGATGTTTACAGATGTTCTGTCTCATCTACTAAACAGGTGTGCCTGATGAGTCAGCAAATGTCCTCCACCTCCTTGACCCTAAGTCACCAGAGCTGCTGCGTAAACTCCAGATCCCTGAGCCTCACCCCAACACACTAAGCCCATACTCAGAAGATGGACTTGGGCAGGGGGTTTTAAAAAAGCACCCCATGTGAGCCTTGGGTCGAGGCTGGTACAAAGCATTTGGATCTCCAGGGTGTTCAGGTGGCCTGACAGGGGATCCAAGTCCAGAGATGGGGGTCAATGACACCTGGTCTTTTGATCCTCACAGGTAGGCTGTCACAAGTAGGCTAAATGTTGGCACAAAGGTCCAGATTTCTGCCAGGATCAAGAGCCAAGCTGCAATTGCAAGGTGACTGTGCCTCCCTCCGGAGTCCCCACAGAGCTCCCAAGTGGTGTGGGTGCCCCCAGGGCTCCAGTAGGGAGAGACCAACATAGTGACAGGAAAGGCCCCTTGTGCTGGGCCGGTTTGGGCCAGAAGTGAACAGTCCCGAGGCACCCCATGCTGTGAGATCCCTTGGTTCTACACACAGGAACCGCTCATAAATCGCTGCCAGCAGAGTGCTCTCCGTCCTCATTCGTGTGCTGGCAGCCAGGCCCCCGGCACCAGCACAGGAAGTACCAAAGGGCCACAAGCCAGTGCAGGAAAGGCCTCTGTCACACCTGCTGAGATAAGGCCGCCCAAGGAGCCGGGCAGGGCTGGGTGGCCGGAGAGAGTGAAGGGCAGCAGGTGGTTAAGCGGAAGGAGATGGTGTGGCACGATCATCCTCGACAGACCGTGAGCGGCAAACATACTCTGAGCACGGGGCACGTGCGGCATTTCTTTCAAGAAAATTCTTGAGTTCTGAACAGCCTTTGGATATGTACACATTGCAAAGTCGTTACTTTCCAGTGGTGAACAGAACCTTCTAAACTTGGAAAGTCAGATCCTCAGGTAGAACTGTCTGTAACACTGACTGATCTGGCGGGAGCAAGGCAGGGGTGGGTGGTGCCACAGAGAGAGCACAAGACAAGGGTCCTGCAGACACGGCTCCATCAACCGCCAAGTGGGCTGGGGGGGTTGCTCTGCCGTGTCTTGGCCTCCATTTCCATAGTCATAATTAGATCAGGGTCTCTCAACCTCAGCACTTCTGACAAACCAGGGCGTGTTATGGATTGCATGATTGTGTTTCCCCAAATTCCTATGTTGAAGCCTGAGTCCCCAAAGTGATGGAATTTGGAGGTGGGGCCTTTGGGAAGTAACTAGGGTTGATGAAGTCAAGACGGTGGGGCCCTCATCATGGGATTCGTGCCCTTATAAGACGAAGAGGGGATAAGGGGTCCCTCTCTGCTCGCACCACCAAGGAGGGCCATGTGAGCACAAAACCGGGAAGAGGCTCCCTGCCCAGAACCCAGCCATGCTGGCACCCGGATCCTGGATGCCCACTGTCCATAACTGTGACAAAGAAATGTCTGTTGCGTGAGCTCCCCAGTGTGTGGTATTCTGTGATGGCACTCCTGAACAAACACAGAGCCGGGCCATTTCCTGTGGCAGGGGCTGTCCTGGGCACTACAGGATATGGAGCAGCATGACTGGCCTCAGCCCAGTAGATGCCAGTAGCACCCCCTTCCCCTCATCCCTAGTTGTGGGACATTGCCAAGCATCACCTAGGAATCACTGAACTTGATGCTAATAAAGTTCCGTTTACCTATGGAAGGTCAGATATCTTTGGACATCCTAATGTTTTCCAGTGTGACATCCTTACAGTTCTAAATTTAGGATTCTAGTATTGATTCTAAGAATAGTTTAAGAATAAACCCACGGAGTTCTGAGTGGAACCACTAGGACAGAAATCTCATGTCTCTTGGGGAGCTTAGCCCAGCAGTTAAGGAGCTTGGGGTCTAGAGCCCAGAAGAGCTGGATTCGAGCCCTGCCTTGGCCACCGGCACACTCTTTCACATTTTGGGTGCCTCACTGTCCTTGTCCCAAAAGTAAGGCCTCAATAATACGTGCCTCATAGGGCTGTTGAGAGGCTGAATGAACTGATGTGTGTAAAGCACTGAGTCCTGTGCTGGCCAGTACTAACTGGCCACAAACACCCAATAAAAGGTGCCGCTATTATCATTATTTATATTGTACCTCTATTCCTAAACTTCCTGTCTTGATCATTTATCGATTTTTTGGGTAATAACTATTTTTGAAAAAAGCGAAAGGCCTGCACCAAAACACAGGCTTGTGAGACACCTCAGTGAAGAAGATACTCACGGCTTCTTCCCATCCAGTTCCGATGACGAAGTCACGGGCTTTTTCGTCTTGTTCAAGCGTAATGTCGCTGATGTGGAGAAGACAACAAACGTGATTCTTCTCGCTTCTTTCATCTGGGCAAGTATAGGTTAATTCCGTTTTTTCTGGGCTTTGAGTCTCATCGTTTTCACTATTTTCTAACTCAGCCGCATTTTCCTGACAGAAATCCATCACCGTGATAGTTGCTGAAGGTTTTTAACATCTTCTTCCTGCAGCATGAAATGAGGGCTGAACTTAGTTTTTAATACTGGTTTCTTAAAGATCAACTCGACAATTCGGGCGAAATAACGTCAAGACACATTCACGAAGAGACCGAGAAGAAATATTACAAAAGCATCCATTGCCAGCTATCGATATTATAAAAGATATGGCCAATTTGAAAGACTAATGGGTTTAATTAAAGATCAAAGTTGGGATCGAGGAAAAGCAGACAGGGAGATGTCAGCTCAGTCTCTATCCCGGATCATGGCATAGAACACAGCAAGGAATATAGGGTCAAGCACCCCTACCCTCCACTTCAAAACAGTCCAGATGCTACTGTGCTAACACCATGGGAAATGTGTTGAGCACGCGTGCAGCCCAGCCTCTTCTTTCCCTTTCCGGCAACTCTGGACACCAGGCAGAGGCTAGGCAGCATGTGGTCTAGACTAAGTCAGTCCGCTCACTAATCTACCCTAATCTACCCTGGATGATTGGTGTTCTTACGAAAAGGGTGATCTGGACACAGACACGCAGAGAGGGAGGCCGTGTGAGGAGGCCCAGGTTGAAGACTGCAAGCCACGGAGGGGGTCCCGGAGCAGATCCTTCCCTCACGGCCCTCGGAAGGAACCAACTCCGTCGATACCTTGATTTTGGACTTCCAGCTTCCGGGACTGTGAGGCAGTGCATTTCTGTCATTCAAGCCACTCGGTCTGTGGTGATGCCATGTCATGGCAGCCCCCGTGCACGCTAGTACCCCGCGTGGTGGTAACGGCAGTGGTGGCAGTGATGCTGAGGGTGATGCTGTCTATCCTTAACTGATGTTCTCTCAGGTTGAAAAACGGAACTTGGCATTGATAATCCAGTCAAAGAGATAGGAAAGTCATCATCCCGATCAGGAGCACAGATCTGGTTGCCAAACAGCCAGGGTTCCAATCTTATTGCCAGCTGCACGACCTTGGGCCAATTACCTTTCTGGGTCTGTTTGCTCATCTAGAAGACGGGGGTGCTTATACTGCCTTCCTACAGACAGATGCTCCTCCTGGGGACCCCGCAAGTGGCAGCGATGAATCTCAGAGCCTGGGGACCTCCAATGGTCCAGCTGAAGGCTGAGGGACAGCCAGCGCCTTCTTGAGCTTTCCTTGCTTATAATGACACAGAGGCCCCTGGGATGACACACGTTGCTTTCTCTCACCCTGACGCGATCCCCACCAGAAGCCCACTTGTAACATTTTCTGTCGAGGTAACTTCGTATAACGATATCTGTTTAATTACCATTTTGGCTTTTTCATATAGGCTTAAAGGGGCATTTTGATGCTAATAAAATTCCGTTTACCTATGGAAGGTCAGATATCTTTGGACATCGTAATCTTTTCCAGTGAGACATCAGAGGAAATGAGTGAAATCTGAAGGGGGAGAAAAAAAGGGAAAAAGAAGTGACTGAAAACCAGGAGTGCTATTCTCTTTAGAAACAGAAGCATGATTAAGGGCCAGACTGTGCAAACCGGCCCGGACCTTTCATCTTGTAAAATTCCACTTCAGGCACGGCTCAGGCCAAGGCAGCTCCGGACCCGGTCCTGTTCTCTTCTGAATTACAAATACATTTATGCCGCACAACCCAAAGGACTTAACAAGTATGCAGTTCGGAAGGAAAAAAGCAGATTCCAAAGCAAAGCCACGTATTTAAACGATAACTGTACGCGTGAGGTTAATAGAGAAAAGAGATATTGTTCAGGAGACATGAAGTATCGTTAGAATGTTCAAATCCATAAGAAAAAAAAAGTTCTGTGCTTGAAGTATCTCTGCTGGCAAGGTGCTCACTACTTAGAAAGTCTGCTCAATGGCAAAGAGCTCTAATTTACTGGTTCTCAAAGTTGGCAGCACCTTGGAATCATCAGGCCCACATCCTGCCCACAGAGATCCTGATTCTAATTGGTCTGGGCCAAGTCTGGCCATCGCTATCGTAAAAACCACCCTGGGCGACCGTACAACGCAGCAGGGCTCTGAGGAAGATCTTCCTTATAGGGAACCAGCACTGGTTTCCCTGCCCCCTCAATATCCTCCACTTGGCGTCCTCATTTTGTGCTCCAGAGCACGGCTCTGTGAGGGAAAGCCTTCCCAGCCATGGGTGGGCTTCACGAGGTCTAGGACACCTCTGAAAATGCTCAAGCACTCTTCCAGGAAGGGGACCGCATCAGTGTCACAAAGCCGTCCGTGGCTACAAAAGGCTGAAGAGTCATCGATCCGAAGGCTGCCCGATGCCTCAGCTTTCCAACAGCCCTGTGAAAAGGCTGCATGTGCTCTTCTCTCTCTCAGGTTAACCATCTCCAGCTCCTCCGACTATTTGTTGGAGGTCATGAGGAACTGTGAAATCTGAGAGGAGGACAAGATTATCTCTATGTATGTCTATATCAAGACAAAGGAACAGCGGGGGCCAAAGAGGCGGTCTCGGGGAAGGCCCTGTTCTGGAGTCAGTGGAAGTCGGACCCAGTGAGGGTACCAGAAGTGCCAGTCACATCATATTCCAAAGTGTCAAAAGAAACCCAGGTGACGGTAATATTAAATAATAAAAATAAGCGGTTACATAGCTCTTTTTACGCACCAGGCGTTGTTGTAAGCACTTTACATGTTTGTTATAAATACTGCATTTTGTGAGTACGTGACTCCTTTCATGGAGGATCATGGGAACGATATTGGCTCCTTGTGACCAAAAGCGAAGAATCATCTCTGAAGTCAGTAACCACAGTATCCTTAGTCAAATGGTCAGATTACTGCATACCAGATTGCGATGCTCCTCTGAGACACGGATGTTCAAGCTGGGTCAGGATGCCCCACTACTAAAACAGAATGTTGGTGGTCTTTTCTAATTAGAAAAAAAAAAAGTCAGTTAGTGGAGAGAACAGTCTTAGTGTTAAATTTTTCTCCAATAATCGTGCCTTCAAGTTGTATTGCCCATTCTTGTCTTCCAGCTCATGTAAGAGATAACAAATAGAAATGTCCAAGAAGCAGGGTGCCTGGGTGGCTCAGTTGGTTTAGCGTCCAACTTCGGCTCACGTCATGATCTCATGGTTTGTGAGTTCGAGCCCTGCATTGGGCTCTGTGATGACAGCTCAGAGCCTGGAGCCTGCTTCGGATTCTGCGTCTCCCTCTCCCTCTGCCCCTCCTCTTCTAACACTTTGTCTCTCTTCTCTCTCTCTCTCAAAATTAAATACACATCAAAAATTTTTTTTAAAAAAGAAAAGAAACGTACAAGAAGCAATTAAAGAGCTAAAAGAGTGGATATGTGATTTCTTACAAATTGTATGCACTCTTACTTTGATGTTGAAATGTAAAGATTTGCATGGATGTAATAGTCATATTTTCTGAGAGTAAAATTATGGCTAGTTTACAGATGTGAGGTAAATCAATAGGTCATGCTATTCCACTTTCCTCACTTCCATGGAGCTTTACATTCCTGTAAATGAGAGCTCATTACTTTAAAAGCATCTTTTTTCATTCCACTGGTAGCTCTAAAGATTAGAATGTTCTCAAAACAAGACATCTGCAAGCCTGAAAATTATGCCTCTGAGTTCCTGGTGTTGCTCCCAAAAGCAACATCTGATAATCCTGAAAATAACTGAAGACAGCTATTATTTCTTCAGATGGGAATCTCAAATTCCCTCATCTTAAGAACGCCCGATTGCCTGTCAATGTCTTTAAAATATAGTACCTGGAAATGAGGAAATATAGTACCTTTCAAATGAGTATTTGAAAAATATTTCAAATGTGGTCTGGCGAGAAATGTCTAGTTTGAAATCTGACTCTCTTTGCTCTAAAATCTACATCTACTAATTGAACAAAGATTGCTGCATTTTTTTTTTTAAGCTATATCACAACCTTGATTAACACTGAGCTTGGGGTCAACTATAACATCTACATTTTTTTCCCCACATGAATTGTTAATAATCCCTGTCTTCTTCACTCCACATACATGCCGTTAATTTTCTTTTTGAATTGTTTTCTTTTTCTTTTCTTTTCTTTTCTTTTCTTTTTTTTTTTTTTTTTTTTTTTTTTTTTTTTTTTTTTTTTTTGCTAGATATAGACCTCTAAATGGATCTGATCCTTCTAAAATTTTCTCCATGTTGGACCACCAATCCAACCTGCTTAGATAACAGTGAATCTGACTGTGACACCCCACAGTTTGGCCATTCCTTTCCACTTTAACACTCTACTAATTTGAGGGGCATACATCCTCTTAAGTCACTGATAAAATGTTGGTGAGAAGGTAAAGGACAATGCCATGTGGATATGCCTTGTACTTGGACGTTTATTAAGTACCAACCAGGTGTAAATTCACCTCGCTATACAATTATCTGGCCTACATGTATAAATCTCATCTACAGCATTCTTGATCTATCTATCAATTTAGGCAATCTTTTTTCTTTTAGGTTATTTATTTATTTTTGAGAGAGAGGGAGAGCACGTGCATGAGTGTGACGAGGGGTGGCAGAATGAGAGGCAGAGGGAGTGGGAGAGAGAGAATCCCAAACAGGCTCCATGCTGAGCCTGGAGCCCAATGCAGGGTTCGATCTCATGTCTGTGAGATCATGACCTGAGCCAAAATCAAGACTTGGACACTTCACCGACCGAGCCACCCAGGTGCACCCATTTCTTTAAAAAAGGAATTTTACCAGGCGTTATAGGAATTTACATTTACATTGATGTCTATTTATTTTTAAAATATTTAGGGGTGCCTGGGTGGCTCGGTTGGTTAAGTGCCCGACTTCGGCTCAGGTCATGATCTGGCAGTCCATGAGTGTGAGTCCCAAGTCAGGCTCTGTGCCAACAGCTCAGAGCTTGGAACCTGCTTTGGATTCTGTGTCTCCCTCTCTCTCTTCCTCTCCCCTGCTCGCCCTCTGTCTCTCTCAAAAATAAACATTAATTTTTAAAAAATTTATTGTCTATGTTAGGGATGATTGTCAGTTCCAAACAGTTCCAATACAACTGGAAGGTTGTGTCGAGAAGGATGTTA